TAGTCTCTCTTCTTAGCCTCTGTGATGACACTTGACATGGTTGACGGGTCCCTCTTTGTCCAGTAGATCCTTAGCGCGTTCAAGCTCAGATGAATTCATCTTGGCCTCGTGGTGGCTTCTATCTGTGGTCTGTTTCCCATGCTTTGGTACTTCACCTTCTTACCTCCTTTGTAGGCAGTTTCTCCTGTGGTAATTCACCACCAGAGTTCCCACTTCTCCTTTTGTATGGATGTCTCCCCAAATTGTATTTGTAGTCCATCTGTCTTAGCTCCAGCACCGCGTTACAACTTTGTGTGAGAATGCCCCCCGAGCGTTGTCTCCTCTCGGGTCAGTGCTGACTGGTGTTTTGTTCAACGACTGGAGACTGGCGGTGTGCTGCAGCGGTTAGGAGCTTGGATCCGAGGGGTGTGTGTCTGAGTCCTTCAGAGCCCAGGAAGTCTTTCCAGATCACTGCAGGTGTCAGTCTCCTTGACTTGAATACATACGGCGCTTTCAGTGAGTGAAGCTGGTTGTGGGAAAGGGTGGGGCATTTACAGCAAATGCATTTACAGCTGTCTTAAGGACAATGGAGCACCTTCATAGATCTCTTTCCTCATAAACGCAGGGTAGGATGCCTGGAAGCTGTTGCAAACTGTTGATTTTTGAAGTTTTTTTTTTTCTTAAGTTGTAGTTTTTTCCCCCCTGGAGAACAAACTAGATAAGTAAGTTAAATTTATGTCTCACAATGCAGAGGCAGAGAGCAAATGAACTAAGTTAGAGAGCATGGCATGATTTTAATTAAGCAGTGGTCGTTTTTAGTGTGTTTCTGGGGTATCTTGAGACCCAAGGGCAAGACTGGGAAAGATTTCCCTGTTTGTTTTCTGAAGTGTGGTTTCTTGTAAGTTGGAATAGGAGTTTTAGGCAGGGATCTCCTGGCTTTCCAATAAGACATTATATTTTATATTAATGATAATTAGCAGGCATGTAGTTACTTGAGTGTGGGTCATGGTAGTTTTATGATGTTTAAAATCAGATAGTAGGGACTGTTCCATGCTGGTTTCTTGTGCCTTGAGACACTTTGACACATGGCCTTCCTCCTGTTAACAATGCCTCAATTTAAACACAGCTTCATTCCTTAATGGATTTTGATCTTTAGGGATTAAACCCATGCGGACCATTAACCTAAGGAATGTAACTCAATTAGCTGTAAATGATTTAAAATAAACTAATAGATTTTCCATTTGGAGATCTTGGTGTCTGACTTTGCTTTACTTTTTCTCCGTCCATCTAACGAATAGTAAGTGTATTCTTCTGGTAAATGATTTACCTTTGTCACAGGTACCTGAGTAATCATTTTTTCTTAAGGTTTGTTAACCTGAGATTTTGAAAGTTTTTAGGACAATTTGATTATCCTTTTGTAGACTGGATATTTTCCTTGTTTCGTAAGTTTGACTTGATTTCAAGATTCAGACAGTTTTCTTTATAAGAGTAGGTGTGTTAATTAAAAGTAAAAGCTATATAGTTTTAAAAGGTTCTGTTTCCAGGACGTACAGTAATAACACGTGTGTTCCTACTGAGCATGTCCTTGCTCAGGCCTGTTCTGTTTCCCCCAAGTCTGGGAAACAGTACTGGTCCTGGCTTAACTGGGGGCTCAGTCCTGCCTCTCCATGACAGGTTTTTTTTTTTCCCCAGTATGGTGCAGAACAAATATTATAGGATATTTACACCACTGATGACAGATCTCGTGTATAAGTTTAGGATTAATTGACCCAAGACATTGTAAATCACTTTGGCACGAGTAATCTGTGTGATGTTTTTTGCCTGCGTCATTTCAGCTGAACTTGAGATCTTGGGTTTAGGCAGGGCTGCTGATGTTACTTTGGCTTTTGTTGAACGATGTTCCCGCATTTTTTGGTTGGCTATTCTCTTTGTTTTCATTTTTCACTTTGTCTCGCTTCCCTTTTAAAGTCCACTAAAGAGCAAAAATATAGTAACAGCTTGTGGTGTTTGTAACCCTGGTGTAATACATTCAAGCTTAAGTAAGTTCAACCTCTTGCAGGGCTGCTTTCTAGAGAGGATGTAGGTAGGCTCCTAAAAATGGTTGAGGTAAAGCTTATGTGAAACCTGGATTTCTGTTTCTCTCTCTTTTCTGGATTGGAGGCTAGGGGGAAAGTATTCTTTTATTCTGCTCCTCTGTTAACTTTTGTTTACTCTCTCTGCTCACTTGTACTTTGAGCAAGTTCACATTTCAAAAAATGGGAAAGGAGGTGGCAGACATTACATTTTGCTCATTTCTCTGTTGCCATCTCAAAGAAGCAGACTGTGGGGCTCAGAAAATGAGTTGACATTTTAAATTTTCTTTTCATTTGGCATTCATTTTTTTTTGAGTGTCATTAATGTGTTCGGACACAGCTTATCTTAAATCAAGGGTCATTAACTAACCTTGTGGTTTCTTGATTTTGTCGTGAAAACGAGCCTCCGCCTCTTTTCTGAATGGAATTTATGGTCTTTTGGCTTTATGCTTGGAAAATAGAGTTGAAGGGGCTCTAGTGTGATGTTGCCATTTTTAGGTGAGGAAGCTGAGATCGATGAGCGGTGCAGTTATGGCCTGTGCTAGCCAAATCAGGACCAGAAAGAAGGGTCTTTTGACTTTACCTCTGTGCCTCTCTGAGGAGGCTTGACATCTCGAAAGGCAAGGATTTTTGTAATCTTTGTCAAGTTACCACTTTCTCTTAAAGGAATAAGTTAGAAATTATTGTTGCAGTACTTACTGCAGAGAATTAAATAAGCCAGCTCAGTTGAAAATGCCACAGTGAATTTGATTTTTGTCTGCTTTTACAATCCTGGTAGGTAGATAGATTTGTGACTGAAAGGCAGTGTAAAAGTTCAGAAATTACCAAAAGAGATACTAACTCTAGGTCAGCCTGCACCATGCCCCTTAAAGCATTGGGAACTTGCCAGATCCATATCCATCCTAGATACGATGACTTACAACGTATTTACAATTCAGTAAGGAATCCTCATCTTTGTAGAGTCTTTGGTTTGAGGGAATTAATACAGAATTAGAGAAAGGGGATTTTAGGACCGTGTGATGGAGTCCTTGTAAAGAACGCCTCTTTGACATTTCTAAGTATATTTTATAGGAGAAAACGATGGATGGATAAAGGAATTGTGATATTTCAGTTTGTTCGTGTAGCCTCATTCTGTTTGATGGATGGGTATGACTACTTTAATTCTTTCACTTTTATTGTTTTAAAAAGGGAGTTTGTTTTTGTAAGTTTTTGGTAGTAGGAAATAGTCATTTTGTATTTCTGTTTTCCCTTTGGACATGCTAGCTGAGTCAGTTTGGGTTTATTGGGCAATTCCAAAATTCTGAATATTCTTTTTTTTTTTCAAATTTTGTAAAAGCTTATGGAGTCGTGATCTCTCTCTTTTTTTCTTTTACAGCCAACACGTATCTCTTCATGGTACAAGCTCGGGGAATAATGTTGAGAGAAAATGTGAAAACAATAGGACATATGATCAGGCTGTACACGAATAAAAACACCACACTCAATGGTACAGGTAAGACCGCTTCCTGTTTAGTTTTTGCTTTGCGTCTGCTTCTTACCCTTGTAGTCACAGAGCCAGGAACCACGTCTCTTCGCTCTAGTTTTGCCTCCAAGTACCTCCCTGTTAAAGACGAAGCTCTCCTACTAAGTGTCCCGGGACAGCCTTGCACTGCCCGGGTCAGGACTGCTGTGTATTCCAGAATGTATAAAGGCGTGATCACCACGGTGACGAGGGTTTTCTATAAAGATACTTAACGTTAATTCTTGCAAACAAAAATTAAACAAAGCACGAAAAACAGCTTGTGCTTTTCCCCTTCACCTCCCGTATTTAAGAGAAATTAACCCCAGAGAGAATGGCTTACACTCATCTGCTCTGATACGGAGGAAGAAGGAGAAAGCGGACTTGGAGTTGCAGCAGGGAGGCCCTGCCACGTTCGTTTGTACTGAGCAGTTAGCATAGTTGTACTGACTAGATGTTGGAGACACCACTTTAAGAAGAACGTCCTCCCTTTACATGAAGATCTCTAGGCTTCTGGGAGAGATGGAAATGTAAATAGCTACTGAGCATGCAGTGATTTATTTCTGCACAGGCTTGTACAGATAAAATCTGCCCAAAAGGAGATAATGGACAATAAGGTAGACAAAGAGCTAATTGAGCTCCAGGGGGTAGCTGATTAACATGTATTGACTCATTTAAAATTTAACACTTAGATTAGATCTTAAAAATTCTCATCACAGGAAAAAATATTTACAACTACACGAGGTATCAGGTATTAATTAGCCTTGTGGTAATCATTCACAATATAGACACGTATCAAATCTTTATGTTGTACACCTTCAACTAATGCAGTGTTATCTGCCAATAAAAATAGTTTACAGGAAACATGAAATTTAACACTTAGTAGCAAATTGTGGTATTTCTAAGTACATTTGATTTCAAAAAGGAGTTTATAGCTCTGTGCCTGACTTTCTGAAGCATCAGATGTAAAGAAGTGCAGGTAATATTTTTGTAAAGAAATCATGTACTTTCACAATCAAATGGTGCCTTGCCTTGTGGCCCATGGAGTCGGTCAAATTAGGAAGACAGAATGTATTCAGTGGATAATTACGGAAGCAAATGACGAGGGCCACGCAATGTTAGAACTGGTAGATTTGTTAGAAATAGCCCAGCATGCTTCCTCATTCGGTGGATGATGTTCGGAGACTGTCAGACATGGCCAGACTGACAAGCCAGTGGTAAACAGACCGGAACTCTCACTGAGTTTCTTTCTATTACCCACTTTAAGCTGCCTTTTGCAAGGAGAACAAAGCCTCGGGGAGGTCTCCTTTGGTCTTCTCCTCCTAGGGTCCAGTGAGAGCTGTCCAGCAGTTTCTATTCTGTCTCCTTTTCTCTGTGTGTGGCTCTGGAAGGGAGGACCAGGGCAGGAGCTCTGGTCTCACCGTGTTCTCATCCACTCATTAGGTGAGATAATGTCCGCATTTCACAGCAGTTGCGGTGGATCAGGCTCAGATGTATCTGTCACGCGTCACCTTGTAAAGCTCCCGATTTCTGCTCCGCGGGCCTAACTGCTTCTGTAGGAATAATGATTTTGTGAGTTTATTACAGCGTGGTCTCCAAAAGCTGAAATCATTGTTAGCTATATTGTCAGTTGTCAGGTGTTCATTTACAGTAAGTTTCTACCATGTTGTATGTATTTTATCAGATACTAGAAATTAAAAGCGTTCTGATTTCAGTTAAAAGAGATTTACAGAGACGAATGGCAGGGGGAGTACACAGTGCACTGGGATGCTGTAAGTACCACTGGGCACAGTATGCAGGGGGCACAGTCTGGGAATAAGCTGAGATTCTTGTGATCATTTATAATGATGTGGCCAAGAATAACATGTTTAGCTCCAAAACTTTGTATTTAAAGGACATGAATATAGTGATATGGCTTATCTTTAAGTTTTTTTTAACTGGTTCTTTAAAAACTGATTAAAGTGGTCCATGGGTTCTTTTGTAAAAGATTCACTCACTCGGGTTCTTTTGTAAAAGATTCACTCACTCATTCTAGCACTAAAATAAAAGTGAAACAATCCTCCAGCCCTCCTGTTGCCACAAGACTCGCCAAAGGGAGCTCCTGTTCACAGGAGAAATGTCTGGGGAGCTTAAAACTTCTGTGAGTTAGGTGTGAGTTTATAGAAACATAGCACGTGCCTAACTGACAAAGCCCAAGCTTTAATGACAAAAATTAATAAATTATACATAATAAGAAAATACCCTTATTTAAAGTTAACTTCATGATATTAAGAAACTACTTTAGGATTGCCTAAGTGTTAATATTTATCTGCTTCAGGATTATAAGAAGATGTGCCTTTGGAACACAGGAAGGCAGTGGACTCCCAGGGACAGCCTTATTTATCTTCTATTTTCAGCTTCTACAAATACACAATTTAGAGTCCATGCTTAGCTAGCATCGTGGGAAGTTCTCCCATAAAAGGAGAACTTTTTTTTTTTACTATAACTTGAAATTTGATAGACACCTAGGTATTTTTTTTAAAGCATTTAAAAAATAGAATCAGAACTTTATTGGACTTCCTTATACATATTTTATGTTTGATATCTTTAAATCTTTGCAATATCTATGAGTGAGATGCAGCGTATGGGCCCCTGGAGGGGTTTCTGTGGACTTAGCATGTCCCCATATGTGTTGACACACAAAATAGTTAGTGTCCACCGAATCCCCTCCTCTTTGTCTTGGAGGATTTCCTTATCAAACAGCTTCCAGGGCTCCTCTGGAAAAAGGCGTTGGAGAGGAGTCTCTTCCTGGGGCCTTCTCAGTCCCTGGTGGAATAGGCCTTAGCCGTTGTAACCTCACTGGTCCCTGTGTGGGGACCCATGTTGGGGTTTTCTGGTAATACACTGACCTGACACATTACTGACGCCTTGCCCAGTTCGTAATGGGGATTCTGCTTAGCGTATCTGCAGGGTCCCTTCCAGCAGGTGGGCCTGAAGGTGGGGGATGTCTCTTTGCTCTGAGATGCCGTCTGGCTCCCAGGCTGCATCTGCATCAACTCTGTTTTGATGATGAATGAATATTTATGTTAGCCCAGGGCGTACAGGGGAAGTGTTTAGTTTTCTTGGACTTTTCTCACATACTTCGTATTCAGTATCCAGGAGTCTATGGTGCGAGGGCTTCACCTTTACAGTTCAGTAAGGAGATTATTTTGACCTTCAGCCTTTTGCTGGCTGGTCACTGGCAGACGGGCCTCTCTTCTAAGTCAGGTGCCTGTTCTCCTCCCTCGTATCTCTCTGCGTGCGGGCCAGTCCAGATAGGGATCTCTCTCACTGGAGCGGATTTCTGAAGACTGAAAGAGTGTCTTCACGTTTTCCTAAAGTGTCTGCTGGAACTTCATTTCCTGTGGGTCTGGGGCTTGGGATCCAGAGGACAGACAGTCGTTTAATCAGCGGTTTCCATTTCTCGTCTCTTGCTGCATGTTGTCTCATTCTCTCAGACCAGCTTCCTCTTAACGTAGCCGGAAACTGGCAGCTCATGGTTCCCAGATTGGCATCTCAGAGCTCTGTTCCAGAAAGGGACTGAAATGTGATCTCCTTGGTTCCAGGTTTAAAACTCTCAGGGCTCTGATTGCTCCAGGTTGGATAAGGGGCTCGTTCCTAAAGCACTTTATAGCTGAGGTTCCTGAATACGTACATCATGGGCCAGGGGTCATTCTAAGCACTTTGTGCATTTTTTCTTTCTGAAATCTGAACACGACAACATGAAGTGGGCACAGGTGTGAAACTTCATTGTCTCCCTGGACCACAGAGCTAGTGCGTGTTGGAACAGAATTTAACTCAGCGCTGGATTTGAGTGCTCTTGACCCCTCTGTGCTCCAAAACTTGCTGAGGCTAAAGTTAATGGACCTAATAATAGCTCCAGGGCTTCCCAGGGACTGCAGCCCACAGGTTGGGAATGACTAATTTAAAGATTTTAAAGGTTCTGTATTGCAGAAGTCATTTGAGTGGGTGAGTCTCAGTTTCCTAAGTGTAGGGTGGTGAGAAAGCATTACTCCCACGCCTGCGCTCTGTGGATGCTGGAAGTGGTGTGCTGTGGCTGGCTGGCTGTCCAGAACACCCTGGGCTGTTTGACATTGGGGAGGACATCTGGGTGTACTCTCACCCCTCCTTCAGTCTGGCTCAGCTGGAGGAGGGATGAGAGCAGGTGTCCTCATATGGTCGCAAATGCGCCTGCTCTGTGTGTCCGCACGAATCAGGCTGTGCCGCTCCCCAGACTTGTCCCAGGTTCCCCCCGGGAAATCACACCGAGAGGTCCCTTCTGGGAGCGGTGAAGGGTGAATGGGATAGTAGCCACGGCAGCTGTATTTTGCTTTTCTCTAGTTCTTTATAGATAATTGCTTTCAAGTGCTGCTGCAGATTGCAGATTGTAGTCTTTTCACAGTGGCAGTGACATATTTCTTCCTAGGAGCAAAGCAAAAGGCAATTTTTTGGTGTAATTTCTCTCTGTCTCTCTCCCTCTAAGATTATCCAGAAGGCAATAATTCAAGTGATTATCTTGTACAAACAACAACGTATCTTCCGGAAAACTTCACATATTCGCCATACCTCCCCTGCCCAGAAAAACTGCCTTATATGCGTAAGTATCATCTAATTTTGACTTAACTATTGCTTGTCTTATAATAAAATGATAAAAAATCACATGGTTTGAGTGCAGCACCCACACATCCCTATTGAGGGTCCTAATGTTCATACCATGTGGCATGTTCTTTGACTTTTGGAGAGGGAGGAGGACTGAAAAGCTAAAGAAAACTTACCCCTTACCCTGAAGTTGCCTTTACTGTGAGTTTGGTGTGTATTCTTACTGGTGATTTTTAAATTTATTTTTTACATAGATAAATGATACTAAAGTATAATGTTTCAGAGGGTTTAAGAATTTATATAAATGGTCTTAAAATTACATTTCATTCTGTAACTTGCTTTCTTAGCAGTTTTTTGAGGACTGTCCATGTTGCTATGTCCAGACCTATTTATTTCTTGGCTATTGTATGCTGTGTCCTGAATAAATGCACTACATTTCATCTACCTTTTTCCCTGCTGATGGAAATTTGCACATTTTACTCTCACAAGGCAGTGCTGTAAGGAACAGCATTGTATGGACTTCCCTGTGCATAACTGCTGGGGGATTCATGCTGGTTCACAGTTCAGACATGGAATTGCCGGGCAGGCTGGTCTGGCTGCACTCCACGGCAGCTGAGCCAGCTCCTCTCCCCAGTGGCAAGGCATGAATGTACCACTCTCATATTGATGGACTTTATACGTTTTTGCTGTTCCTACAGATAAGACACTTTCTGCTGTTAATGCTAAATAAAAAAAGGTATCTCGATTCAATTTTTACGTTCTTCATCACTAGTAGGCTTGAGTGACTTTTCCTGTGTTTGTGAGTAGTTTTGGATTTTCTCTCCTGTGACTTGCTCGGTCACTGCTTTAGCGGTTTCTTATTGGTTAACTAGATTTTTGTATTGATCAGTGGGAGTGCTTTAGATATGTTCCAGCAGGGACCTGTTGTCTGCTACATGTGTTGTAATATCTTTTCATAGTCCCTGGTTTGTTTTTTCATTTTGTTCATTGAGTCTTTTAATTTATAGAAGTTTAAAATTATGATGTTTTTGAGGGTATCAAAAACATTACTTAAGGTTTTAGCTTTTTTTTAAGAAAGCTTTCCTTATTACCACAAGGCCATACAAATACTCTCTTTTAGTTCCTTCTAATAATTTTACCATTTTGTTTTTAATTTTTGTATATAATACGAGGTAGAGATCAAGATACTGTATTTTAAACATATTTTTTTCAAAATTATGAAGGTCATACATTATCATTAAAAAAAAAACTCTATAATCACTCAGAAGCCACATGGCTATTCTTTTGCTTTTTTTTCATTGTATGTGTCCCCCTCTCCCAATTTTAAGCCTACTTTGTACATGTAGTATCTTGATTTTTATATAATTAAACATTCAAATAGACATTTTTGAATTGCTCATTTATCCATGTGCTTTAATGTTCCTCAGTACCTAAGTGTGTTTTTTATGTCTTTTCATAACTTTTCTTTATTGTGGAAGTTAGCCTTTGCCTGTCACTTTTGTAGGATTTTTTTCAGCTTATGTTGATAGATACTATATATCTACAATAAAAAGTAAATTCACCTTTACATTAGGGTACACCAGAATCACTTAGGCAATCTTATAAAACAGATTGCTCTGCCCCACCCCCAGAGTTTCAGATTCAGTAGACCTGGAGCGGGGCCTGAGAATTTTTATTTCCAACAGGTCCCGAGATCATGTTGGTGCTGGTGATCCCTGGGCCCCAGACCCACTGATCCAGAGCAGAACTTAGCCGCACCGTGGCCGCCTGGGGGTGGGAGGGTCTTTATAATTCTTGGGCCCAACTCCTAAGTTTCTGATTTTCACAGTTGGATGTGGGGCCTGGGTATTTAAAACAAAATTCTCAGCTGCTTGTACTATTGTTACCTTCTTGCTGTCCTGTAATAAGAGAATGAAGCCATGGCTTTTGTGGCTGTTTGTCATTACTTTGTTATCACAGTCTTGGTTTTCTAAAAAATGAATGTTTTCGTCTTTGCAGTACTGAAACCACTGGGTCATGTTCTGCTGAAATATTGATTACAATAATTTCATTTTCATAATTTGCATATGCGAGGGCTTATAGTTTAAGGAAATCTTTCTGTTCTTGGTTTAGTTGCCATTTTCCTAATTAGTGCTTTATGGGTACTAATTAAACTCTGTTTCATAGCATCTTCCCGCCAGGCCCCCGGTTCATAAGTGCTCCCATCAAGGGCTGGAAGGGCCGTGTTGTGGCTGCCACTCATTGCCTTTCACTGAATATCTTAGTGCTCCTGCTCCTCTCTGCTTCCCCCGAAGTCTCACATTCTTCTGCAAGGGGGGATCCTACCGGTTTGGTCAACCACCTTTTCACGAAAGGTCTTCTCCTGGTTCTGCTGGCTTTGCATCCAGCACCAGTCTCTTGTCCAGTTAGCTGTGGCCAGAGCAGTGGAGTTATGTGATAGAAAATATGGCCATGCACAGATAACTCCTTAGGAAGAGGCCGTGGGTACAGAGAGACAGCCTCTGCCTTGCATGAGCCATCCTGGAGAGCCCCTTCCCTAAGTATGTGACCTCTGCAAAGCAGAGCCTCGGTTTACCTATGTGTAGAAGCTGGAATTCTAATGTCGACATTACAGTGTTGGGAGGGTCAAAAGCAGTGCAGCATTTGAAGCTTGATAGACGTTAATTGGATACCCCCTTTCTTTTTCCTCGTCTCTTTGAGTGATGGGGCCAGGTTTTACAGTGATCAAGGGAGCGAGGAACCTAGGAGAAATGTGTGGAGTTAAGGCATTTTTTACTTAGCTATGCATCCTTAATGTGTTTTTAATTAACAGATTATTTCCCGTTTTGATGATCGAGAACAGCGTAATAAAATACCTAAGTGTAAAAATCTTACTGTAGTATCACATGAAGTAATTGAATACAATGCCTCCCCAAATCATAGTTAAGGAAAGTCTATGTAAGAAGATGATGTACTTAGTTGAAAACCATTCAAGGGTGAATGGTACTGAGTTTTCCTATAATCACCGAAAGTGAAGCTAAGCCTTAAAATTGGTGTTTGATTATCTAGCTGTAACTTCTCTTTGATTTTTACTGGCACTGGATCACCATAAAGTTTGCACTTTCCCAGTTGGAATTCAGATAAAATTGATTTCATGGATTTCAGCAATGTTTCACATTCAATCAATTACCCTGTAAAATCTATTTTAAATGTTATTTATTCAATGTAAGTGAACACTTCTTTGCTACTGTTAGTATTTATAGCTTCTCCAGAGGGCAAATCCACTTTCAGCTTTCCTCAATTTATGTGAGATGCTCCGTGCTAACAATTCACTTTATCTAGAGCTGAAAAATAGTAAGTGCTTAGCATGGATGTTTTGATTTTTCTGGGTGAGGTTAGAGATGGAAAATGTCGGTTGTGCACTTTGTATTAAAATGAAGGTAGACTTACCTGTAGATTTCCTAATTCTCATTCAAATAGAATGCGTTTGCAGTGGCTTTTATTTACTTTGTCCTTAGTGTTTTTGGAATAGTTCCCTTTTTGGTTTAACCCTGATAGTTTCTATGGTTGCTAGCCCTGGGAATGTAACAAAAGCAACAAGGACTCTTCAAGATGAGTTTAATAAGTTCAAGTGAAAATCAGCAAAGAGGGAAAAGATAAGGAAGTAACCTTCAGAGAACCTCAGATAATGCTTAACGTAACAAACTGTCTTGCCTACGTCTATTGTTTAAAAAAAAAAGAGCTTCTGGAGCCATTTTAGAGCCCGGGAGCAGCTGTGCAGAGCGCTGTGTGGTCCGCAGGGGCGGCGGGGGAGGAGCGCCGCCGAGTGTGCCCCTGCCTGTGCTGGAGCCGGCAGCGCGCGCACAGAAGGGCTTGTGATGTGCCGGACGTGAGACAGCCGTTCATCCTGGAAGGAACGAGAGACGTCAGAGGGAGTGGACTTTAAAACTGGGTCTTGCAGGTTCGTTCAGTAGGTAGCTGAGCGGGCAGCGTGAGAACAGAGCGCGTGTTCTGAGAATGGAGAGGGTTCGCTGTGACTGGGCTGGGTGCGCGGTGGGGCGTGTGCGGGGCGCGGCTGGACAGGGAGGAGAGGGCCTTGTGTGAAGGACTCGCCACTCTGAGGGCTGCCCAGGTTCCACAATCCCTGGGCATCCATGAGATGGGCGTCAGAGGGAGCGGAGCCCCTGAGCGTGACTGCAGAGGGCTGAGGTGAGGGCGCATGGTTTTCCAAGGGTCTAGGGGCAGAAAGGGTTAAAGCGGAAACAAACGGAAACCGCTGCTTTAGGGAATGTAGCACTCATCCGCTTTAGGCAGGCGTGAGGTGTGAGCAGGATGGTACTTCTGAAAGATGAGTATGGTGAGAAGTTGAAAATAAATGGGAATGGGGAGGTACCGGGATCTGGAAGGGCCACGAGGGGCTCCCTGCGGGGATGGGAGGAGTGACCAGGGCACGTGCGTGTCGTGCGCGGCACGTGCGCGGCCGTGGTGTCGACAGGAGGCGGTGCCGGAAGGAAGTGCAGGGCGTCTGGCCGGATGTGGTCCCTACTGAGGGATCAGGGTTACTCTCCAGGTTTCTGGCTTGGTGGCCATTAACCAAAACAAGAATTGCAGGATGCGCCCGCATCGCACTGGGAGAATGGGGAAGTTAATGATGCGGTGTTGGGCCTGTCCGTTTACAGCTCAGGAGAGTTCATGTGGGCTCTGAACTTCATCAGAGAGATCGGGGCTGGAAGTGAGCGGACGTGAGACTGGAGGAAGGCTCAGAGTGGGTCTCTGGAGGCCATCAGCACCCAAGGGGCGAAGGGTGGTCTGCAAAGAAGGGAAAACGGCCAGGGACATAGAGGGGTCAGAGAAGGTGTCCCAGAGGCCAACAGGGAGAGGGAGAGGGTTCCACCTTGTCACCTACCTCCAAGCGGGTAGAATGAGGAGCTGTGGAAGGCCATTGAATTGGGCCTGGTGGAAGACTCATGGGGACACAGCCAGCAGCGTTTCAGTGCAGTGTGAGGTGAGAAGCAAAGT